GGTGAGTGCAGAGTGGAGACTCAAAGTCCATCGGTATGCAACTGGACACCCCCTTACTGAAGGGCTGTGGGGAGGAGATGAGCCAATAAGGGTGCAGGGAAGCAATGATGAAACATATAACTTTCCTCTAGTTCTTAAATATTACACCCCTCCCCCCAATCATGATCCCAATTCTACCTTACAAATCTGGCTAGACCAGAGGATGTACATTGGTACAGATAGTAACTGGAAACATAGGGAATCCAGGACAGATGACTCCTTCAGGACCAGTGGTGAGAGGGGCGATGCCTGGAGGTTGGAGGGAATGTGGGGTAGAAAGGGGGAACCGATTACAAGAATCTATGTATAGCCTCTCCCTTGGGGATGGACAGCAGAGAAGAGGGTGGGTGGAGACGCTGGACAGTGTAACTTATGACAAAACAATAATTCATGAATATGAAAGGTTCATGAGGGAGAGGGGAGTGTGGAGGGAGGGAGAAAATGAGCAGCTGATATTAAGGGCTAAAGTAGAAGGAAAATGTTTTGAGAATGATGAGGGCAACAAATGTACATATGTGCTTGGCACAATGGGTGTATGAATGGATTGTGATAAGAACTGTACGAGCCCCCAATAAAATAATTTTTTAAAAAAGCAGGGAATCAGTGAAAAAAGAAGATCCTTAATAAGACGGATTGACACAATGGCTATAACATAGCATAGATTATGAGGATGATCTAGAATACCAAACAATGTTTATTCTGTTGTTATAGGCAGTATGAGTCAGAATTTACCCTGTAGTACCAAACAACAATGCAGCAAAACAACAAAAATAAAAGTTGTCCAATTAAAGAATGGGCAAAACCTTGCACAAACATTTTCCTACAGAAGGTATTCAAATGGCCAATGAGTACATGAAGGATGCTCCACATCTTTAGTCATTAAGGATAAGCAAATAAAAGCCACAATGAGATAGCACTTCACACCTACCAGGGAGATGTTTATTAGACCAGTGGTTCTCAACCTGTGGGTTGCAACCCCTTTAGGAGTCGAACAATCCTTTCACAAGGGTTGTCCGATTCATAACAGTAGCAAAATTACAGTTATGAAGTATCAACAAAAATAATTTTATGGTTGGGAGGTCAACCACAACATAAGGAAATGTATTAAAGGGTTGTGGCATGAGGAAGGTTGAGAAACGCTGTTAGACAAAACAGAAACTAATACCAAGGGGAGGGCGTATACCATGAATAGTGTGAATGTATAACAGTGGCACCTCTGTGGAAAAGATAGGCAGTTTCTCAAAATGTCAAACAAAGAATTACCCTATTGATCTAGCAATTTCACTTCTAGGTATATGAAGGTAAGTAAAAAAATCATCCCTACTTAAGGTTTCAGTTCATAAATACATAGTTTTATTCCAAACAAAACATGCTGAAAAATGTGATCAATGGATGGCTTCAGACAAGTTCTTTAAAGTTAGACACTAGTATTACTCTCATCCGAATGTCTTGAAAAAAAGGTTCAATAGTCCAGGAATGTGAATAGCCTTACTTTCATGCAGAGTGCATTAGAAAGTGGATTATGCCATACAAAGATAGGTTAAAATTTAAAACCTAATCATTTGATCACCCTTTTGATCCATTTTAAAGTTGTTCTAGTTTTTAATATTTTCTTTTTATTGAGGTTTCTGTCTTTTTTATTTTGTTATTGTCATTTACTTTTTTGTTTTTGTTTGGTTTTCAGTATATCAAATCCAAGATGGGTGTTTCCATATGCACAGTAACTGGATTACTGGTTTCTTGGGGGTATGGCAGGGCAGCCTGGGGGGCAGTGAGGAGGGAACATAAAGCAATACAAGTGGGAAGAAAATATTTTAAAATTAATTGCGGTACTGATTGTACAACTCTTCTTGATATAATTGAATTACCGAATTATATGATATCTCTGGACTGTGTTCCAATAAAACTGTTTTTAAAAAAAAATGTTCAATCAAAACAGTGGTTTCCAAGGAGATCTGTTCGGCCAATTAAATTCAAGCTAAGTTATGGTGACGATTTCTTGGGACTCCAAAATGGTAATCATGTTACATTTTCTCACAGGACACAGGATGATTATGGCAGGTTACTATTAGGAAGAACTTTTATGAAAACTGAAAACTTCATGGGTATAAAAAAATGTCAAGAAGGGTGTGCTGAGATTTCCCCAGAACTCAACAGTGTGCATATACTCGCATTGAGAGTACCAAGGGCTAGCCTATGAGAATTTCATTGGGAAAATGTATCCCATCTATCCTAGAGCCTTGATTTGATCTTTGCAGACTTCTTTTTTGACCCCTAAACTAAATGAGCATTGAAGAGGACCATGATTTGAATCCCTCAAGAATGTAAAAACTACCATTGTGATATAGTGTAAATGAAAGAATGCCGAAATCTTCAGGGAAGTATAAGAGAGAGATAAACAATACCTTCAAAAGTGTGCAGACCTAAATGTAGGAGCTACTGAAAAACAATAACTTCCCATTTTGATATTTTTATTTAATAAAGGTTTCTATGGTTTTATAAGAATATTTTTTACTTATCCTCACATACCCAAAAGAATTGAAAGCAAGGACTCACACATATAGTTATATGCCAGTGTTCACTGCAGCATCATTCATAACAGTCAAATGGTGGAAATAATCCAATAAATTATTATTCAGCCATAAAGAAAAATTAACTTCTGATATATGTTACAACATGGATTTTGAAAACATCATACTGAATGAAATATGTCAGGCAGAGAAGGACAAATGTATAATTATATTAATATGAAATATCTAGGATAGGCAAAGATGTAGAGAGAAAAGTTTATTGGTTATTACCAGGGGCTAAGAAATAAGTGGGAACTAGAAATCTGAATGAAGGCATACTGAGCTTCTCTCTGGGGTGATGTAGAATTTTGGGACTGGATTGTGGTGATGCATACATAACATTTTGAAAGTAATGTTACTGAATTTCACACTTAAAAATGGTTAAAATGGCAAACTTTCTATTATATATGATTTACCACGATGAAACTGAAAAAATAAAGAACACAAGATGTGGCACTTCTTATGAATCAAAGTTGTTATAGATGAACATCATTGTTAATATTATTCTGAGACTGTATCAGTGCAATCCACCATAGAGAAAAACAAAACAAACCACAAGTAAGCACTGTGCGGCAGTATTTTGCTCTTTTATCAACAGTATAACATTCTCATAAAGTGTCAAAGATTATATGAGCATAACACAATATAGTCTTTCTCTACCTCCATCAGGGTCTCTTCAGGCAGTTCTGGAGCTTCAAAGGTGACGAGCCCCTCTAAGCTAGGGGGCGAAGCACCATAAGGCAGATATCTCAGGCTGGGAGCTGCCTCTGCTCTTGGAGGGGGAGATCCTGAACAGAACCCAGATGGGGAGCCCAAACACACACGGCCACTCACAGAGCAGAGGGAACCTCCAGAGCTGTTGGACCCCACTGCAACAGAAAACAGAATACATGGGGCAGTTCTGGAGTTAGTTCTCAAAGTTGGGAAATTTTTCTACCCATTTCCATTTATTGAACAAAATCTATTAATGGTAAGAAGTAAACATAAAAAGTCAGCGATCCTTTATATGAACATACCAGGGGTTTTAATGCCCATACTTGCTCATCTGTCAGCTTGTTATGCCAGTTAGATTACATGTTGCTATGATGCTAGAAGGTATGTTACTGCTATTTCAAACTATACTAGCAGTGTAATAGCCCTGGTGTCTGATGTAGTGGGATATGTAGTGATCAGCTAAATACAATGTCAGTGGTTTGAACCCATCTCCACAGGAGAGAGATGAGGCTGTCTGCTTCCATAAAGAATTCAAGCCAAAGAAGGGTCACTATGAGTTTTTGCATACCAACAATGTCACCCATGGTGGATAAGTGTCACTGGAACCTACAGACCAAAATAGACTAGAAAGAAAGACCCAAAGAGGTAATAAACTTCTAAAACTCAGTCAATGGATCACAACAGAACACTGCCCAACTCTCTGCTCAGGCTATATCACCAGGAAAGATCACTTTCTGGAAGACATTGTATTTGGTGAAGAAGAGGGCCAGTACAAGATGAGACTCTGAATAAAATGAATTGGTACAACGAGCCATAAAGATAGACTTGAACACTTGAGCAACTGTGAGGACATTGTAGGATGGAGCAGTACTTTGTTCTGTTGTATATATGGTCACCCTGAGTAGGAAGTGACTTGACGATAACTATCATCATTATCATTCCTATATAGTTTTTTTTACAAATTCCTATCACATAGATTTCTTTATGTTGCTCCATAGTCTTCATATATATATGTTGAAACTCACTGCCTCAAGTCCGTTTCCACTCAGAGCAACACTATAGGACAAAGTAGAACTACCCCTGTGGATTTCCAAGTCCATACATTTTTACAGAAGTATCTGTACTTTCTCCTGAGGAGTGGCTGGTAGTTTTGAACTGTTGACCTTGTGGTTTGCAGTCCAATGAGCAATCCATTATGCTACCAGAGCTCCTAACAGGTCCTCAAATTTATATTTGTAATTTTCTTTGCTAGTCCTCTAACTTGGGGAATTTACACTATGTCTAATTTTCTTAGAGTACAAGTAGCACTGTAATAAAGTTTTTTCATTTCTTTTGATTGCTTTAATGAAATATATTACAAAGTAATAGAAACAATAATATGACTACCAATGGTCAAATCCTATATACATTTTGGTAATTTATTCACTCACTGCCATCAAGTCAATTATGATTCTTAGAGACCGTATAGGAGAAGGTAGAACTGCCCCATGGGCTTTCAAAATGGTAACTCTACAAGAGTAGATAGCCTCATCTTTCTCCTGTGGAACTGCTAGTGTTTTCATACTATGGTTAGCAGCCCAAGCTCTACTTAAACATTGCCTTACTGATTTCTGAAACAGCAGTGAGGACATGGATGCCACACTAGCTCTTTTACTTTTAAGTTAGCTTGAGTTAATAGATGTCAACTATTACTTCCTTAAAATTGCATTTTCTTATAGTTGGGTTTATTTTGCCAATTAGGCCAATGGGAACATGTGAGTGGAATTTGGTCAGGTAGCAGTTTGATTGGAGGATGACTGAAATAAATAAAGATGGTCAGTATCCAATCTCTCTCTTGCTCCCTGGTGGTTGGACCAGTGTGCTACTGCTTTAGCTAGTTCTCTGCCTCAGACTGTGTGCTATACTACCTATGGGCCAAACCAACCTGTAGATAGTGTCGCTAGAGTTTGAGCTGTTTTACCATGTTGCTGCTGTGTATATTGCTTGAGCTTAAGGCTGGTTGATCCTGTTGCTGTGCTTAAGTTTGAGATCCCATCAGGGTCTGCTTCACCTCCTGAGCTACTGACTGCTGTGGACCCACCCTGCTGCCTGCTGCCTGTGGGCAGACTCTGCTGTCTGCTTCCTTGACCTTAGACCCAGGAGCCCACGAGAGTTGAAAGACTTCCAGTATATTAACTGTTACATGAAGGTGTTTTGAACTGAGCCCTCTGTACTGGTGTGTGGACTAATTTGCTGTTATATTCCTTTTGGCTGTATATATATATCCTGGTTTTGTTTCTCTAGTGAACTCTGCCTAGCAAACTATTTAAGAGTTTTAATAATCTCTTTTTAAAAAGTTTTACTAATCTTAAATGTAAAGTTCTTAGCTCTACTTCTTCTCTTATCTATTGATATTCTTTGCTCATCAATCTATTGATATCTTGATTACTAATTTATTAAGCATACTGTGACAGTTATATAATCTCCTGTCAACTTGGGAAAGGGTAGAGTCTAGCCTATCAATCAGGTTGCAGCTTGATGACCTCATTTGGAGGCACCATGGAGAAAATTAGCTCACTGGAGGTCAGATACACTCACACACTCTCCTTTATCTTCCTGCTGACAAGCCACATGGAGCTACATTGATGCAGTCTGAGCCCTGGAACTGGAGGAGCCACGTGGAGACCCACGCCAGAGCTGAGATGCTCCCACCACCACTGGATCCACAAGACTTTCCACCTACTGGCCTGGGATCTTCTTGAATTCAGCATCATTGCATTGCTGTGTGAGTCTAAAGAGAAGTTTATGGACTAGTACTGACATATGGGGTAATATCGGACTTATGGACTTGATCTGCTCTGGGCTGAGATGTTTTATTAATATACAATTTCTCTTTGATATAAAGTTCTCTTTTAGACACATGAGTGTCTCTGGATGTTTCTCTAGTTAACCCAGACTTACACACATACTTTATGCCATCAAGTGAATTCTGACTCTTAGCAACTCTATAGGACAAAATAGAACTGCCCAGTAGACTTCCTAGACTGTAACTCTTTAGGGGAATCAAAAGTCATGTTTCTCCTGAGGAGTGGCTGGTAGTTTCGAACTGCTGGGCTTGCAGTTAGCAGCTCAATGCATAAACACTATGCCACCTGCATAAGAGAACTAAAAAGACACAGGTATATCACAAATGGAAACTGATTTCAAGTTCAATCTGAATACTTTATCAATTATTTTTGGTATTAATAACTTACTTATAGAGTATTGTTCTTAGTTGTCACTCAGTCAACTATGACTTATAGAGGTCTATATACAACAGGAAATGCCCAGTCTTGCATCATCCTTATAACCACCATTATTTTGAGGCCATTGCTGTAGCTACTATGCCAATCTATCTCACCAAGAGTATCTCATTCCCTTGTTGGCCCTCTGTTTTACCAAACATGATGTCCTTCTCTAGCAATTAATCCCCTCTGATGACATGCTGAAAGCAAGTGACTTAGATAATTTTTTCAGGAAACCCTTAAGATTTGTATTGGCTACTCTTTGGAAGTAAATCAACAGACCTTTCTTCTAAGCCTCTTATTCTGGAAGTTCTCCTGAACCTTATTCACCATGTGACCCTCCTGATACTTGAAATACCAGAGGCACAGCATCTAGCATCATAGCAACATGCAAGCCACCATAGTATGAATTGTAGAAGGTAGTTGATTTATAGAGTATGGATGATAAAACAAATCTGTTAGCCTGCAAAGATTAGGATCCAAAGTACAAAATCATACCAAAAATATTATTATCTTCAAAATTTTTTTACTGGGTATACTATAGTAAGTCTTCAACGTAAACTGAGAAGCACTATATGTACATAGTTGCTTCATCATGGGGAATTCATATTTATATTATCATATTATAAGATTGTCGTACATATATTTCGATGTAAATATCTTACTTTAAAAAATTTACATGTGATAAGTGTATCATTTATTACTTATAAGTCTTTAAGATAAATAAAAGTGTTATTTCAATTTCAGTGGTAAGAAAGCTGAAGCTCAGAGAGTTTAAGTGACTTGTCTATGTTATAGAACTGCCATTTTTATAAGAATATTGCTTTTCAAATACAAATTGAAGGTTGTCATAATACCTTACCTGACGTTGTTCTTGTTCGAAGGACTGTATCGGTACAAGTGGGAGCCATGGCACTGTGTGGAGGTGACCCTACCGTGAACAGGACAGTCCGAGAACTTGTTGCTGTTCCTATAGAAGGTGCCAGTAAGAAGCCACAGGCTCCTACAGGAGCTACAATAAAAGTCAACAAAATGGTACATTATCTTGATAGCATTTATGTCTGGAGTTGTTATTACAGTGAAGCTTCTATTTTTACAAGAGGTATTATTTCAAAAGAACATTTATTACTCTTAAAACCAGATACTTCAATTTATTAAAAAATTTTATACATAACAAGTAGCTGAATCAATTAAAAAATTTTCTCCTCAAACAAAAGTCTGAAACTAGATGGCTTCACTGGGGAGTTCTATTAAACATTTGGACAAGAATTGACAGCAATATTCTAAACGTCTAATCAAGCAAACTTCCAAAAAGTAGAGGAAGAAGAGACATTTTCTATCACTTTCTATGAAGTCAGCATTATCTTGATACCAAATGCAGATACAACCTATAAGAAAATTATAGACTGATATCCCTTCTTAGCAAAATATTAGCACACAGAATCAGTAACATATTAATAGAATTATACATCACAATACGGTGGGATTTATTCCAGGATGCAAGAATAGTTAACATTAGACAATCAGTATTATACACATTAATAAAATAAAGGAAAGAAACACACAATTAGCTCAGTCGATACAAAGTGTTCATTAACTTTATCACACTCTTATGGTAGATATTCTTAATGGAATAGGAATCAAGGAAATTCTACCACATGATTAAAAGTATGCACAATCAACAGTAAACATTTTACTCAATGGAGAAAGATTGAGATCTTTCCTCTTGAAAATGGAAACAAGGCAAGGATGCCCACTCTCACCACATCTATTGAGGACTTAGAACAATAGGTAAGAAAAACAAAACAAAAAATGTGTCCAAATATGAAAGGAATAACTAAGATTGTCTCAATTCCATAGGACATAGTCCTCTGGAAAAATGCCAAATAATGTACCAAAATGTTTTTATGACAAACAGAGAAATTTAACAAAGTTGCAGGATGCAAGGTCAATACTCAAAGTCAGCTGGGTTTCTATACACCAGCAATAGAAATTTTGGAGGAATAAAAAGATTAAAGCCCACATGGAAGAAGCACACCAGCCTGTCTGACCATGAGGTGTAGAACGGATCAGTTATCAGACATCAAAGAACTGAAAATCATATCAGTGGGTGCCTGCTTTACTGACACAGTCACTGAAGACAAACACGTGCATACGCAAATGTGGTGAAGAGAGCTAATGTGCCCGGCTATCAAAAGATATAGCATCTGGGGTCTTAAAGGCTTGAAGATAAATAAGCGGCCATCTAGCTCAGAAGCATCAAAGCCCACCTGGAAGAAGCACACCAGCCTGTGTGATCATGAGGTGTTGAAGGGATCAGTTATCAGACATCAAAGAACTGAAAATCATATCAGTGGGTGCCTGCTTTCCTGATACAATCACTGAAGATAAACGTGTGCATAAGCAAATGTGGTGAAGAAAGCTGATGGCGCCCAGCTATCAAAAGATATAGCATCTGGGGTCTTAAAGGCTTGAAGATAAATAAGCAGCCAACTAGCTCAGAAGCACCAAAGCCCACATGGAAGAAGCACACCAGCCTGTGTGACCATGAGCTGTCGAAGGGATCAGGTATCAAGCATCAAAGAACAAAAAATATCATTGTAAAGGTGGGTGAGTGCAGAGTGGAGACTCAAAGCCCATCGATAGGCAACTGGACACCCCCTTACTGAAGGGTTGTTGGGAGGAGATGAGCCAATCAGGGTGCAGAGTAGCAGCGATGAAACATAAAACTTTCCGCTAGTTCTTAAATACTTCCTGCCCCCCACTATCATGATCTCAATTCTACCTTACAAATCTGGCTAGACCAGAGGATGCACATTGGTACAGATAACAACCAGAAACACAGGTAATCCAGGACAGATGACTCCTTCAGGACCAGTGGTGAGAGGGGCGATGCCTGGAGGTTGGAGGGAATGTGGGGTAGAAAGGGGGAACTGAGTACAAGAATCTACATATAGCCTCCTCCCTGGAGGATGGACAGCAGAGAAGAGGGCAGGGGGAGACGTCGAACAGTGTAACTTATGACAAAACAATAATAGTTTATGAATTATGAAGGGTTCATGAGGGAGAGGAGAGTGTGGAGGGAGGGAGAAAATGAGCAGCTGATATTAAGGGCTAAAGTAGAAGGCAAATGTTTTGAGAATGATGAAGGCAACAAATGTACATATGTGCTTGACACAATGGATGTATGTATGGATTGTGATAAGAATTGTGTGAGCCCCCAATAAAATAATTTAAAAAAAAGAAAACAAAACCATTTATAATAAAATCAAAGAAAATAAAATAACTATGAATGAATTTACTCAGGAATGTGAAATTCCTAAACACTACTGAAATTTTAATGAAAATTCTAAAATTTAATGAAATTTCTAAAACAATGCTGAATATTTATTATATATTTACACAAATAACATGTGCTTTCTTCCCTTAGCTTCCTAGAGGAGTTGGTTTTTAAGTGTCTATGTCAGATTTTTTTAACACATTCTAAAAAATTAGCATGGCTTATTTACATAAATACCTCCTCAAGGATAGATGGGAGCAGTTGGCAAACATACATGGCACATGTTATATGTGTAAAAATAAGGTAAATAGATGGAAAGACATTTCATGCTCATGATAAGGAAGACTTAATACAATCATAATGCCAATTTAGGCATTCCCTGTATTACAAATAAGTTCCATTCCTAAGTCTGTGTCTAATTTGAATTTGTATCTAAGTCAGGTACAGTTTGTATCTATTGTCAGTTAGTCAAATGTTTGACTTAGTATATAGTGTACCTTTCCATGCATTAGAAGAAGTCAAAGATGCACTTCTAGATACATTGAAATATCTTAATCATATAATAATAATAATAGCAGCGATGTTTTAATGCATGTGGTAAAGTAGCAACTATTTGTTATTGGGAACTATATTATGTACCTCAAACAGATGGTATGGATAGGTGCCATACAGAGCCAAAATCTATGCATATATTCACATTTTCTATCATACTCACCAGGCGACCAGTAGTGAGTATCCAAGAATGTACCAACAGACAACTGTCAATAAAATAAGATACAACACCACTACAATGTCTCAGAGACAAAAGACAATTTCAGTTCATACAAAGAAGTAGGGCTGAAGAGTCACTTTTTGGTCAAAGTGACTACAATATAGAGCCAGAAAACATTTATAAGACAGAAATTACCCTAGAGATATCTTTAATGGGTTGTGAGAAAGTTACAGACAAAAAAAATCATGGAGAGCACAGACAATACTTTAGAAGAACTCAAGAAAATATGTAAGTCCAAACTGACAAAATAAGTAAAAATTTAAAAATCATACAAAAACAGCATAAGGAACAAGGAAGAGCACTATAATGAAAAAAATTTTTTTTAATCATTTTATTGGGGACTCATCAACTCTTATCACAATCCATACATACATCCATTGTGCCAAGCACATTTGTACATTGGTTGCCATCATCATTCTCAAAACATTTGCTTTCTGCTTGAGCCCTTGGTATCAGCTCATTTTTTCCCCTCCTTACCCACTCCCCCTTCCCTCATGAACCCTTGGTAATTTATAAATTATTATTATGATGTCATATTTTACACTGTCCGATGTCTCCCTTCACCCATTTTTCTGTTGCCCATCCCTCTGGGAGGAGGTTATATGTAGATCCTTGTAATTGGTTCCCCCTTTCTACTCCATCCTCCCTCTACCCTCCCAGTATTGCCACTCTCAGCACTGGTCCTGAAGGGGTCATCTGTCCTGGATTCCCTGTTTTTCCAGTTCCTATCTGTACCAGTGTACATCCTTTGGTCTAGCCAGATTTTGAAGGTAAATTTGGGACCATGATAGTGGAGGGAGGTTGGGGGGAGCATTTAGGAACTAGAGGAAAGTTGTATGTTTCATTGTTGCTACACTGCAACTTGACTGGCTTGTCTCCTCCCTGTGTCCCTTCTGTAAAGGGATGTCCAGTTGCCTACAGATGGGTCTTGGGTCCCCAATCTGCTTTCCCCCTCATTCACAATGATTTCACTTTTTGTTCTTTAGTGCCTGATACCTGATCCCTTCGACACCTCATGATCACACAGGCTGGTGTGCTTCTTCTATGTGGGCTTTGTTGCTTCTGAGCTAGATGGCCACTTTTTTATCTTCAAGTCTTTAAGACCCTAAATGCTCTATCTTTTGATAGCCGGGCACCATCAGCTTTCTTCACCGCATTTGCTTATGCACACGCTTTGTCTTCAATTATCGTGTTGGGAAGGTGAGCATCATGGAATGCAAGTTTAATAGAACAAAGTATTCTTGCATTGAGGGATTACTTGAGTGGAGGCCCAATGTCCATCTGATACCTTAATACTAAACCTATAAATATATGCACAAAGATCTATTTCACCATCATACATAAATATATTTATATATATACATGCCTTTATTTAGACCTCTATAAAAGCCCTTTGCCTCCTAGCTCTTTCCTCTATTTCCTTTTACTTTTCTCTTATGCCACTATCGTGCTCAGCCTTCATTTGGGTTTCAGTAATTCCTCTTGGTTGCATTACCCTTGATCATGTCCTACCAGGCCTCCTACACTCTCCTCATCACTGATTTGGATCATTTATTGTTCCCTTATCCCTAGATTTGTTAACATCACTTTCTTTACCCCCACCTCCCCTTCTCCCATGTCCCCCTGGAACTGTTGGTCCCATTGTTTTCTCCTCCAGATTGTTCATCCAGTCTATCTTATTTAGACAGACCTGCGGAGATAATAACATGAAAAAAAAAAACCTATGTAAAAATGAAAGAGTTATAACCCCCCCAAAAGAAAAAAATTAAAGAGTCAACTGAACAATGCCATTGCATGTGGTTTTCTGAGTCTAAAGAAGGACTTATAGACTAGAATTGGACCTATGGACTTGAGGGGGCCTGTGTTGGGATGTCTTATTGCTATATAATTATTTCTCTTTTTTCCCCTCCTACAGTTTTATTGACATATAATTCAAATAACATACAATTCAGTAGTTAGA